TACAATTTAAACCAGTTAAACTAGTAATGTAGTACATACACCGGAAAGTGTAGTCTAAAACTTACTACTTATAAATCACTAATCACAAAATTGTCTTATTTATTCTTTAAGCGATTTGTTTAGCGCTATTCAATATTTTGACAGCCAAGAAGTATGATTAATCTTCTTGTAGCTGTTGGTTTGATTCAAAGACTTTTACGTGGTTACTGACTCATTTAAGCATATTGTTTCATTATCCTGCATTAAACTTCTACGTAAGAGAGAGTTGTGAAGTTCCTCAGAAATCTGAGCATTTTGTAGTAAAGTATTATTTCTAGAATGAAATTTGAACTCGTCGATGTTTAACCTCCTGGACATTGAAAAAAGACTGATAAATTCTTTCACAATATACATCCGTTGTCTATGTGTAGTATAATGGTTAACTGATATCAAATAGAGAATTACTGAAAACCAGGGAGTACTGGACAACTGTTTTGTCCAGCAATACACACCCAATACAAACCTTCAGGTTACGAGGCGAGGTCGTTGACTAATCATCTACTGTGACGAAATCAAATGACTCACGAGTTCTCACTTATGCCAATTTGAGATGTATAATGCAACCGCAAGCCAGTGTCATCATCGAGTGTTTGTCCTCACACCTAGTCTGGTGGACCCCACTGGCTGTGACTTCTCATTGGAGCTCCAGCCAACTTCGTCTTGTGGTCAGTCACTAGTGACCATTAGATTACTTTTCAAGGGTTAGTTTAGAAGGATTTAATTAGCCCAGCCGCTAATAAAAACCGCTAATTGAAGAACTTTAGAATTCATCTACTAATGGTTTCCGTCCTAATGGCCGGATGGTCAACGAGGTCGCTTCATTATCTGTAGGTCCCGCTTTCGATCCCTAATGGGTTGGGTAATGGATGCGCACCGATGAAGAGTTCAAAAATAGGACGAAACAACTGTTCAGTACTCCCTGATTTTTAGTGGTGCTCTAAATGAAGTCATTTCGTGATCAAACGTGAAACCAATCAAATCCCGACAAATTTTCACTTGAGAAAAATGTATTTCGTTGGAAATATGCTATTGTCTGTCAGATTTGAAGAAGAGTTACCGAAAATTAGAAGTCGATATGTCAAACTGTAGCTATGACAATATTCAGTGAGACTACTTTCACAAAAATTGGTGCCTTTTTCATAATCAGAGATGATAAATCTTTAATGGGTATTCACACAGTGTTTCATTTCGTCTGCCTATCTGATTCTAACTGGTTCGATTTTACAACTCAGTTGTTCATTTCAGATATTTGATATTGTTTGCTTAAATTACTTGTAACACTGTTTTGCTCCTGCCAAGTAAACATTTCTGAACTCAAAAATTCATTTCCAGTTTCGTTAATTGGTTTTTCAACGAGAGTAATTCATTTGCCTCCACTTCGAAAATTACTTTCAGTCCCATTTAATAGAAGGTTGCATCTGTTAACTATTCTAATTTTTGTAGTGAGTAGATAGCTGTATGAGCTGTCTAAAGTGATTATACTCTTTGAGATAAAGACTAACGATAATAACTCCGACGACAATCTTTGTTTTACGTCGGTGGTGATGGAATAATACTGCAGATTTATGGATTTGATTCTCATACTGATCACTGATTACCTCTGGCTACCAGAATCCACAAAAAGAGAGAGAACAAGGTGGACTGGTTGGTGAGAATAATTCGATTTTATCATATAAAACTACACTATAAACAAATATTATGTAAGTCAAAGACGTAATGCTAATAAATAACCAATTATATTGGCTGCACAAGGTCGGGCTTCTAGGTTGTCCAATGACATTGTAATAAATATTCTGCCTTTGCCCAATGGTTTAATTTATCCAAATTAGTTTAAACCTAATTCGGATGTTTTGGCCTATTTAAGTTAGCTTCAGCTCCTTCCCATCATTTTGCATCCATGATTCGGTATTTATAGGCATTTATTTACGATCTAATTATTACAGAGTTACTGAAAAAGCAATAAGTAGCACCAACAATATAAGTACACTTAATTGATACAATAATACGACAGATAAAAGTAAAATGAAGTAGCGAAGTATCGACATACTAAGCCTATTGTAACAAACTGTTATTTAACAATAAATTCACTCAATAATATTTGATTAGACATTGTTACAAAACTGTAATAATTTTAATTGAAACTTAAATGATGAGTATATTTCCAAATGTGTGACAGTGTCATACTTCAGGTAGACTGATTAATTTTAACAGTTCAAGGAATTAAAAGTTGGTTTGAATAAAAAAAATGTTCTTTTCAATAAATTCTCTTCTGGCTCTTACAGTAATAGCCACTCATCAAACACCATTTACTAATTTAATCTTACTTGTCAAATTTGCTTCCGCAATTATACGAATCTACCATCGTCTCGCATTTCACAATATTTTGTAATTGCATTTAACCCAACGTCAGTGGTTCAGCGGTATAATGCTGGCAGACCATTTGCGTGGTCCGGGGTTCGATTCCCGGCCGGCGCACACCTTTACCTCCCCTAGCCGGTTGTAAACCTGAGAAAGAGGGAAGGTTGGGTGTAAGGCTAGTAACCCCACCCCGTAAAAAACACCACTGCTAGTGAGACTTCAGAGCACTAGCTTGAAGCCCTATGTTCCACTGGGAACGTAAAGAAATAAAATAAATAATAAACTCAACCCAGCACATTTTTCACACTAGTACTATTTATTATGTCACCATATCACTAATCCGTTTTTTCACATAAAAATGTATCCACAGCATTACTGGCTGTTATTATAACAATCAGAATTATATTTTATGGCTGGAAAAACCTGAAGAGGATTTACTGAATAGAATATTCTTCCTTCAGACCGACTTTTAGTTCATGATATGGGAATATTGAACACTCTTAAGTGTAAGGAACTGTTCATTAAAATAAGCAAATTATTGTGATTTTGTGAAATTATTATTGTTAATTTCATAGTTTTATAGTTACTAATAAACGGAACAAGACTAACGCCGGCAGAAACACTACTTATTATGATAAAATGCAGTGTATACTGAGCAGTTCATAAACCTTACATTGTCCGTCGTTATGTTTCTCCAAAGACGTTACTCTATATACCAATGAATAGGACATTTCAACACTCTAAGTGTGAATGACTTTTACCTTCATAAGATCACTTAAATCAAGTGTTTATCTCCATTTTATTTACCTTCATCTGTGATACAATTCAATAGATGTTACCTTATATGTTCAGACAGATACTTTATAATGTGTTTGTCAGTAAAACATTGCATAATTTTCAAAAGAATAGACACTGAACAAAGAGAACTCTTTTCGATAAATTCATCATCAGGTTCTACAATTATATATACATTATAATGAATGAATGAATTAGTCTTATGAACGACATTAATGTTTAAATAACATCAAATCAATAATATTGATAAATTACAGCTGAACAGCATCAACATCAAATAAACTGAATGTCAGAAGAATTAGGAAAGGTAATGGTACAAATTCATGAGTTTATAGTTTCTACTGAGGGCCAGGGCAGTAGTAGGGGCTGGACTTGTTTCTTTTGGACACAGAGCGCTGGTTGTTTGAGGCGAATTGCAATAGCCTCTGCTGTTTGGAGTAAGCGGTGCTTCGAGGATTTTGGTAGTTTGTTGGGCACCCGGTATATTATGGAGAAGGATTCGTCTACGCTGGCTTTGTGACCGGTTTGCACCAGATGGTCTAATATCGAGCTGTTAATACTTTTAACTACACCTTTGCTTAGCCATAGTGGGATATGTTCTCGAGCACGAAAAATCAAGTTCCTAGAGCAACGGCCAACATAACTCGCTCCACAAGCGCAGTTGAATTGATAAATACAATTTGAAGTGGCCAGTCTAGGTACTTCATCTTTCAGTCGAGGTAGCACCATCGGTCTTGTAGAGAATAAGATGTGTAGTTTTCCAGCATTAAAAGTCCTTTGAACTGCTTTTCTTAATTTCTTTGTAATTAACTCACTTGGTTTATCGCCCTTGAATTGTAGTCGTATATAAAGGGGCTTCTTCTTTACAGATAGTGGGTCGTTCTTTTCGGCCTTCTTCGTCATATGTTTCTTGATAAACTTGTCAGGATAACCATTTTCAATTAAAGTATCATATACAATGTCTAATTCATCTTTAATTACTTCCTCAGAGCATATAGCTCTAACTCTGTGGCTAAGGGTCTTCACCAAATTCCTTTTGTATTTGATGGGAACGAAGCTATGAAAGTGTGTATATTGTCCCGTCCAAGTACTTTTTCTATGTAAATTTCTTTTTATGCTTCCGTCTGGTTTTCTTGTAAGTAGGACATCGAGGAAGGCAATTCTGTCTTGGGATTCCTCTTCACATGTGAATTTCATAGCCGGATGTACTTCATTGAATTCAGTAATTATTGTAGTCCTATCGGAAGCATTATCACAAAGAATAAAGGTGTCATCCATATATCGGCAATAAAATGAGAACTTTCTGATAAGGTTGTTCAGAGGTCCATTTTCTAGCTTACTTAGAAAGAAATCAGCCAGAATTGGACCTAATGGGGAGCCCATTGCCACCCCATCCACTTGCCTGTAAAGCGTGCCGTCAAATTTGAAGTTTACATTCATGATACATCTTAATATCAATTCTTTTAGGATTTCAGTATGGATTCCAATGTTTATCGACTGCTTGTCCACTTGTTCACATATATAATTAACTGTTTCTATTAGAGGTACATTCGTGAATAACGATGTTATGTCCAAAGATATCATGGTTTTTTCCTTGATATTAATATCTTTTATTTTGTCTACGAATTCGAATACATCTTTGACGCATAATTTCCAACACTTTGAAAACCTGTCATCTGAATGTTGATGTTAGTTTGTATTTCACTAGAGATTTGCTCCCAATAATATTTATCATATGAAATTTTTGCATGTATAGTTGTATTTAAATTTCCTTCTTCTTTCTTTTTCTTCTTCTTTTTCACCTACAGCAACGTGAATATCGTAGTGGATTATGGCCTAGTGTTCGACGTCGTATGTGTAAATGGGGATATTTATTTCTAGTTAGTAAACGTTTAGGAACACGATTATTTGGTACATATTTATTTATAAAATTTCTTTATTTATTAAATGCTATTGGACAAATATTTATGATGCAATCATTTCTTGGTTTAAAAACAGACAATTACACCCTATTCGGTATTGCTATATCAAAAAATATTTTAGCCGGTTTAGATTGGGAAGTGACTATGATATTTCCACGTGTTGGTTTTTGTCTAGTCCCATTGAAGCATATTGGATCAAATAATTATGCTACAGCTCAATGTGTATTACCAGTGAATATGTTAAATGAACGTATTTATATGTTTCTATGGTTTTGGATTGTATTGGCGGCAACTATAACAGCTATCAGTATACCAACATGGTTTACACGTATGAGTTATGAAAAATCAAGAACACATTTTATTAAAAAATATTTAAAACTTGGTGAACAAGTAACTAAAAAAGATAAATATATGATTGAAAAATTTACACAATTATTTTTACGTAATGATGGTGTTTTTCTGCTACGTATGATTGCTATTAATGCTGGTGAATTAATATGTTCAGAGATTATATGTCAACTGTGGCATACATTTTGTGAAAAATACTTTTATCGGGATTTAACACGTAAGCGGAATCGTAGACTTATACCACATTTACACTTGAAACGTGGTATTATTGGCCTTAAAGATAAAGCAGATTGTAAAGAGAGAAAATATCCACCAGTTGAATCAACAACAGCCACTGCACCACCATCTCATCTTGTCCTGTCGTCTGATGCACCTATCGATACACCGGATACAGACGAAGATGGTTATTCACGTGATGATGAAGACGAGGATGATTTAAAGCATCATTTAAAGAAAAAGTATACAGGAGAGCGTAAAGAAATTGTTTAAGGCTATATTTTTATGCTTGAAAAATTATAATTTATATTGAGTACAATTCAAGATGAGATATTCAAACTACCCAGTTTTTATATATGTATATATATATATATACACTGTGGACAAATGCCCATCATAGATGAATAAACCTTTTATAATGAATTCCTTTTCCAGTGAACATTATTCCGATTGTATCAAATTTACAATTCGTTGTTTTGTTTTGTTTTTCTAAAATTATTTGTTAATCAATATTATGAAGAGTTTTCAATGAAAGTCTGTTTAACTAACCAACCAGTTAACTGACTAACAGCTGTCTTTCTTATCCTCTTTCCAACTATCCAACTAGACAAGAAGCGCATGTGTATTAAATTAATTTCATACTTATTAAGTTGTCTTTTCGTTTATTTTTGGTTGTTTTTTTACAATTTATTGATTATCTTTTACACTCAGTCAGGGAGATTATGCATTTATTCATAATTTTTATCATATCATTTATATAAATGTATATACTTACGCATATCTTTGTATTTTTATTGTATACATGAATAAAGATAAGCTGAACTTTATAAAATTATCAGTTTTTAAAGTAAGAAACGAAATGACTTTATTCATTTTGAGTAGAATTAGAATAGTCGTTAGATAAGGGAATTTTTTTCTATTCCTTTACGCTTCCAGTGGGACACAGGGCTTCGAGCTAGAAGTCTGAAGTTTCGGTAGCAGTGGTGTTTATTTTTATGGGGTGAGGTTGCTAGCCTCATGCCCAACCTTCTCTTTTTACCAGTCTTATTACTGGCTTAGCGAGGTAAAGGAGTGCGTCGGTGGCCGAGGATCGAACTCCGAACCACATACGTGGTTGGCAAGCATTCTACCTCTGTGCCACCGACGCACAGATAAGGGAATTAGTGTTGCTTTACAGGAGAACTGTATCGATGGTTCAATGGTAGAATGCCTCCCAGTTACTCACGTGGTCCTTGTTCGATTCCCTGTCAACGCACTCCTAAACCTCACCCAGTTCACTAACCATTAGTAAGTCCTGAAAAGAGGGGAGATTTAGTATGAGGGTAGCTACTTCACTTTATAAAAGAACAACACCAATGCTAATGAATCTTCAAAACAGCTTGATGCCCTATACTCAACCAATGATCAATTATTTTCAGTAGAAATTAACTCAGTTATTATTTACATAGAAGCTTTTCTGAGATTAAGAATAGTTTGGATTCACTAAATGAATAGGTTTGTGTCGTGGTATAACAATCTACTTAGTTTAATGTAACGGTACTTTGAAGGCATTACTTGGCAAAAATTGCTCATATTTCCTGCGATCTACTGGAATACTGAAAAAATCTAACTTTCCTATCAAGATCTTGAAAACAATTACAGACTACAGAAAATATTCCGAGATTATTAACATACCTCTAAAATTTGAGATGTTTTTTCTTGATTTCAACTGTATCTGATGGAAAAATCTATTAAAAGCACTCACAGAAGGTTCTAGACTTTCAAGAGACATTATTGATTTAAAGACAGATTTCATCACTGATCAATATGAAACAGAGAAACCTTGGAAACCAAGTAGCACTGGATAAACATTTGGTTTTTGCATGAAACTATTTAATTCATGTAAATCTCCATCCAGGCATTAATGAAACAAAACACGTAGATCAGCGAAGAGTCTCTTTTCGGCGAATTCATTTTCTTAGCTGTACAATTGCGTTATTTTGTATGTATGTGTACATTAAGTTTGTCAAACAAAAATACAATTGGTTATAGTTATTTTAACTAAACAGGTGAAGATTGGTAACTGGAGTTACGTAATACAAAACCAGTCAAGAAAATTAGGTGTTAGTGAAATTAGGGTAGTAACAAAAGTGATGAGTTGTCACAAACAGTTGTTAAAAGAAGTTACGTAATAATATGAATAGTTTGATGAGTGAGTTTTACTCAGGATGCACATAGAAACAAAGTAGAAATCCGACCTAAACAAACTGTTTGGCTCTTACGAGGTATGCAACATAGACGGCACTGAAATAGAAACTAAATCGGAAATTAAATACCTAGGTGTCATTCTATCTGCTGATCTCTCCTGGTCGTCTCATATCTTAGCAATTTCTAAGAAAATATTCCGTCTTACCTTCTACATCAAGAAGTTAAAACATTCTGGTATTACCCAACCCTTACTCCTACAATTCGTTAATTCTCGCATCCTGCCTATTATTCTCTATTGCTCCCCCTTAGTTATTCCTGGACTACTGAAGAAAGACTATAACATTTTACGCAGGATGTTAAATGTTGTTAGCAGGGTAAGCAACGTGCCACTTAACCAGCTTGCTAATACTCTGGTTGACAGGCACATGGACTCATATGAAAAATGGGCCAAATCCATTTTATCTAACTCACACCACCCTCTTCACTCACAACTCTCCCCCTGCATCTCATCAGGTAAAACCAGAAGCCAATATAGAAAACTATATGCTCGCACCAGCAAGTACAAAAACTCAACCATACCCTACTTAGCTCGTGTTCTGTGTGATAAAGAAAGCATTAGGCATGACACCTATAATTCTTTAAATAGTCAGTAGTACAACTGGATCTCGTCTTTCCAACCCACATCATCAATAGGTACAACATTTTCTTTCTTTCTTTTCTTTTTCTCTCTCTTCTTTTTCCGTTATGTGCTACTTTGTCTCTTTCTCTCGCTTACGCCAGTTAATAAGACAGCTCCCACTTTTCTAACACCTTCAAACACTGTTTCAGCTTTACCTTTGCTACTGACATGCCAATGTATTGTTGTAATAATGAACTGTGGTTTCCTCAATCTATGCAGAATTCTATTTATTGATAATGTACTAATTGGATGCAATACTGTAGTAAAAATGCTGAGAATTCCATTCTGTATCATAAGTACTGTTTTGGAATAAAGCAAATTATTATTATTATTATTAGATAATAAATTCTAATGAATACAAGAATTATAAGCAATTAAAGAACAGGCAGAGAACAAAGTATAAATAAAAAACTATTTAGCAGTACATATTTATGAATTTACTAGCAGTTGAACACAAAGTCAGTGGGTTACACAGAGAGTTTTTAATGCTTACTTCCGAAGAATTCTAACTTAAGATTAAGCATCTATCCAGGGATTTGTGATTTCCGTTAGTTCTTTAGTCGATGTCAGTTTATGATAAAACTGTCAGTTCCTGTCAACTTATCAGTAGGGTTTATTCTCACCGATAGTTATCAGCACTAATGTCATAAACCATTTACCTTTTAGGTTAAAATAAATATAAGCAACATTATTGTTTATCTGTAATTCTAAATATTAAGGGAATATGCAGTCTATACTTACAGAGACCATGCTTGTGAATATATATATATATTGATTATATTATACAAAAATTTCTCTTCTTTCTTATGGACTTGAAATTATAAAAGTAACGGGTCGGCCAATAATAACTGTGACTCTCATTCTTTGAGAATGTTTATGAGAAATATACTTCACGTTATTGTTTCACAGTTTATCATAGTCACTTTAGCTTGAGTAAACTGTATTTTTTTAATTCATACAATGTGTTCCATCGATCGTCTTCATCAAGACAGGAAGAGTAAGATTTGCAGTATAAAATGTGCATATTTCATTTCTAGACTTCTCCCCATCTGTAGACAGTCTAAATATACACAGTATCAATGAAATGAGAACTCTCCTTTTTTATTCTAGTTAGCAGAAGTTGGGCGTAAAGATTGTAGTCTAAGGAGAAGGATGAATGAAGTATGCTGGTATAGTTAGTTATTCATCATAGCTTCAGGAGAAGACTGGAGAAGTTTTAGTGAATGGCTCAACAGGAAAAACATTAATTAACTGGTAACACACAGGAAGAAATATTACGCAATGATATACAAGAAAACATTTAGAAGTGATCTATACCTGCGGAATGCACGTGACGAGTCCCAAATAGGACGAAACTCGCATCCTGGATTCCGCTGCTAATCACCGTCCACCAATTAACTTCTGATCTGAAATCAGTTAAGCGAGTTAAGATCAGTGCGTCAAAAAGTAATAATAATAGTAGTAGTAATGAAAACTGTAGTAGAAAAGAAGAATTTTACTATAAGTGGAATAATCGTTACCATAGCAAAGTGGAATTAATCACGGTTTCTTTCTGTATACTAAGGGTTGGGTTCGAGTTGCTTGATAGCGATAGATACAACATACTGGAGAAAAGTTGATTTGTTTTTTGCTTGTTGATAATTGTGAATGCAGTTGGAGTATCTACTTTCTGTCCCGATTCGACTATATGTGGACCGATTTTGCTGGTAATGGACTGATGACCTTTGAAACTCAGACCTTCTAGGATATGTTAAGAAAAATGAATAGATAAGCATCCTTCTGTCTTCCCGATGTGACTGTTCTGCCATGTACGCATGCATTTGCGAACACTGTTGGGGCTGAATTTTGATGGGTACCTGTTCACTTTCGATGGATAAAGAGTACAACTAGTGCTGTTAGATTTGCGCTGATATTCATACTGAGTTTGTTTTACAATCTTCCTCTGTTCATTGAAAACAACTTTTTCCTTTCAAGTTTTGCTTCAGAAAAATGAATCCCGGTCTAATGAAAGAGACAGTATTCTGCTTGATCACAATTTCAAAATAATGTAAGAGTATCTCAAAATTTTGTTCTGACTGATGCATACTGTTGCTGTTTCTATCAAACAGGAAGTGAAAAAAAGCTTTAATAAACACAGTCTATTCCAGGTTCTTATTATATGAAGGTTTTAGAGAAGTTAGTTATTTTGACCATATGACGCGTAACACTATCAACTTTATTCTCTGTAGTTAGTCACTTTTAATAAAGGTGGAATTCCCCCCTCAGTGGTCGGCATTTACTAAATGTATGTCTGTTTGGTTGTCATTCCCATTTATATGGAGTCGAGCACTCCATCAACTCTATTCATCCTCTTCCCCGAGATATTAATACAGTGAACAAAAGGGCTGTCTCTTTCGCCAGAATTCGGTTGACAAACAGAAACGATGGCTCAAGGTTGGTTCAGATTTACAAAACTTGTTCAGTTACCAGTCAGAACATACTGCAGTCGCTAGTCCCGTCCAAAAAAACATTTTCTAGTGATGATTAACACATCTTTGAATTACAGCGATGACGGGAATACTGTTCATATTGGAAATTTATGATCATTTCAAAGAGTGAGAGCAGTATTTTATCTTTTTGGGCCTTTTCAATATTATTATTACCATCATCGATGATGGAATACAGTTTACATCACTTCGCTTATAAAAGTTTTGTCGAAACAATAACAGCTTCCATATCTTACTCATTCGGACAGCTTTAGGAAAACGCATCAGTGGGAGTAATCTGTGAAGAAGCGAATATAAAAAAGTTAAGTGAAAAAAAAGTTGAGAGTAGGATTTAAAAAGCAATCTAGAAGACCTAGAAAGATTACTGCAAACCATATAGTGCCTTCAGACTGTTCACTCGTCAAAGAATTATACAAATTCATGAGGCGAAAATGAGGGGTAT